GCGTGTTTCAGAAGATTAGTTACCGATACAATGCTAAACATTTATGTAAATAAAAAACCACGTATATTTCAATATAGCGGAGACTTCTAAAATGAGCGGAAGTGATTCTTTGATATTTATATGATCCATATTTAAAGTTCTACCACCGAAATGAGTAATCCAGCCGCAGAGAGGGTAATTCTTTGGACTCACCGACGGATTTAAATCAGTACACGTAGACGTCAGGTAATCAATACTTTAAAAGAAAAAAAGACGGGAAAATGGTTTACTTTGCGATTATATGGCCTGATAAACATATCCAGTAGTGTTTTTCCAAAAATATCTGCTCCGTACTCGGCAAAATTCGAGCACCGAACTTCGCGTTTCTTCTGCAAATCCTTCAGCTCGGCAATACACTTCTGTCTAATATTCGGCGGGAAATATGGGATGGATTGCTGGACTGGATAAGGCACGTAATTATGGTACGGATTATCGTCATTGAATAAATGAGACAAATCAGCCTGAAATTCAAACATCCGAAAATTAATAATATTTGCATTCGGCAAGGAAATTTCCATAAAAAATTTTCTTGGGCACAGTTTACTCGCTCCACAGCAGGATATTTCCATTTATTACCCGTGCAGTTCGAAGCCAATCTAACAGTTTTGTATAGTTCTAAAAAAGTAAACCCAGAAAACTAACAGCCCCTATCAAACTTACCTTTACTGAGCGTCTGACTTTATTCCATTTTTTCACAGCTCCGTTAACGGCTTCTTCGAATTCACGATGCCGCGATGCACCCAACACATGTATGCCCAGATCCCATGTAAAGCCTTTTTCATCCGTTATCGAGCGCGCCAGTCCACCAGCCTCATTTTCTCTTTCCAGAATGACAATCTGCAGATAACTAGACATAAATACGCATGTCAAACTCAGAAAACATACCGAAAATCCAGATCCCAAAAATGAATTTAGATGCCAGGTTCCAGAGCACACTTCGTCTGTTTAGAGATAAAGAAGGCTGAGATCAACTGCGACAGTAACCATCGCTGACAAAGCTGATGCTGGGATCATCTTGGG